TTTAGGAGCAGTAGGTCATACTTGACCATCTGATCTCCTTTTATCACCAGGTGACCCACCTAGTAGATGCTGGAAAGGCTGTGGATGTTGTCTATTTGGATTTCAGCAAGACCTTTGACACTGTCTTCCACAGTACACTCCTGGAAAAGCTGGCAGCTTACAGTTTGGACAAGAGCATGGTTTTCTGGGTTAAGAACTGGCTGGATGTCTGGGCCCAGAGAGTGCTGGTGAACGGTGCTGTATCCAGCTGGCAGCCAGTCACCAGTGGTGTCCCTCAGGGGTCTGTGCTGGGGCCAGTCCTGTTCTGTATTTTTATTGATGACATGGATGAGGGTGTTGAGTCTTTCATTAGTAACTTTGCAAACGACACTAAGTTGGGAGCATGTGTAGTTCTGCTGGAAGACAGGAGGGCTCTGCAGAGATACCTGTAATGTTTAGATGAATGGGCAAAGTCCAATAAGATGAAGTTTATTAAGTCCGCCCTGGTGGCCAAGAAGGCAAACAGCATCCTGGCCTGTATCAGGAATAGTGTGGCCAGTAGGAGCAGGGAGGTCATTCTTCCCCCGTAATCAGCACTGGTCAAGCCATAGCTGGAGTTCTGTGTCCAGCTCTGGGCCCCTTGTTGGAGAAGATGAAACGGGGAAACCTTATGAATATGATTGTTTAGCAAAGGATTCTGAAAATATGAAGTCTAGAATCGAAACAGAAAGCTAGCTTTGAGTCATAAGAAACTGAGTGCTAGTTAATATATAAACAAAGAACAATAGCCTAGCCAGCTGAAGGAGAATACTTGTTGATGAAACAATATCCTTCTGCTGATAGAGAATCCAAAGGTCAAAAGCAGCAAGAGAAGAATTAGAAAGGTAGCTTTTAGAGTTTAAAATGTAACACTGTATGGTAATGTAGTAGTTCTTATAGGCTATATGTAAATTCTCTGGTGTGTCTCGTAGTGGTTGGTTACTGGGAATTAGAATATTCACTATAGAAAAGGATATAATGTGTTGTGAGGTGCCTCAGGGAGGCAAAGAGTTACTTTCAGATAACCATTGTTAAAGTGAGAGGCATGGCTGTAAGCCATCTGTGTGAATTTTGACCCCCTGTGTTGGGGGATAGGCATGTGAGCCCTGGATGAAGTTGTCCCACCCCAAACCCCTTGTGAAGGGTGGCCCAGGAGTTCAGATTGGGTTTGAGTCCCTGGGGGGGTTCTCCCTTGCTGTGTTTCTACTGGTCCCTGACCCTCAACTCCACCCTCAAAGGTGGAGACCCTCAAGAGTTCTGTCCCTCAAAAACCCCTGCCCTGCCTTTGTTAGGGGCTCTCCGTTCTGGATCTGAGTTGTTCCCATGCTGAATAAATGGTTTCATGAACAGAGGCCTATCTCGTTGTATTACATGCTGGTTCCCAGAAAATAACACCTGATCCTGCAGTTGCAGACTACAACAATAATGTATTGTAACAAGAACTTAACTCTTAGCTCTTGCTCTCTTAACTTCTGCATATCTCTTAACCCTCATTCCCCTCTCCACCCGCTCTTAACTTGCTCCCTTCTCCTACATTCTCTCTCTCCCCTCTCCAGTCTCTCTCTCTCTCTCTCCCTGACCATGTGTACATCATGGCTGGTGGCAGAAACAGGTCTCTTCCTCCCTCTACCTATATAATAAATTGCTTATATCTGAACAGCTTGACCCTGGAGAAGTCTCTCACAGCGTGTGATTTGTACATCTATACCCCTCAGTTTAGGAAGGACGTTGAGATGCTTGAGCGCATCCAGAGGAGAGCAATGAGGCTGGTGAGGGGCTTGGAACACAAGCCTTATGAAGAACGACTGAGGGAGCTGGGGTTGTTTAGCCTGGAGAAAAGGAGACTCAGAGGTCACCTTATCACTCTCTACAACTTCCTGGAAGGAGGCTGCAGTCAGGTGGGGGTCGGTCTCTTTCTCCAGGCAGCAACCAACAGACCGAGAGGACACAGCCTTAAGCTGCGTCAAGGGAAATTTAGGTTGGACATTAGGAAAAAGTTCTTCACGTGATAAAATACTGGAATGGTCTGCCTGGAGAGGTGGTGGAGTCACCATCCCTGGATGTGTTTTAAAAAAGACTGGATGTGGCACTTGGCGCCATGGTTTAGTTGAGGTATTAGGGCATGGGTTGGACTCGATCTTGAAGTCTAGTCATTCTGTGATTCTCTGTGACTGCACACTGAAATACCATTTCCTACCTCCTGGAAGACACTTCTGCTTCAGATCTGCGATAACTGCTCTCCAGCTGACTCATGCAGATGAAACTAGATGTGCTCACCTTCTTGCTACCGTAAACTACAGAGCTTCTTAGTTATTTCACATGAGGAAGTGTGCTATTCCAGAAGGAAAGATACCCCCTTTTGTCGCCCTGAAAACTCAGCTTCTGAGCTTACTGACATGGTTTTCTAAAGACTTTCCCAGGACAGTAACTGTAAGCATAGACATTCTTTCTGATACACATCTTGTGATGGACATCTCTCACGGACACTGCAGTTGGGAAGGTGTTATCCTGACTATCCAATCCCTGGCCATGGTCAGAAACCTATAAATTCTGAGAGAAGAAATAAAGCTTTCTCTTCCTTTCACCACACCTCAAGCTGGGTTTGTGTGATCTATTCGTCTCCACCAGCAACACCCTTTGATTCTGACCGAGGTACTGGGACACTAATTTTCATTCATGCTAGTATAAGGTGGGATGCAAAGGGAGCAATAACTCACCTACCTACAGACAAAACAGTTCTAAGCACGCATGAGAAAACAGGGACAGAAATTTAAAAGAAAAAGTTTCAATTAATTCACATATACTAAAGGACAACCACCTGCTTTGATCTTACCAACCAACCTGCTCTTTTGCCCTAACAAAGTGAGAGCTTGGGACTCATCAGTCTTATTTCACTTGTTTCATTTCTGCACTGTTTCTCACCATTTCCTGTACATGGCCACCTTCCGAACAATTCTCTGGCTCAAGGAGAGGTAAAAAACCTCAATCTCTGGAGGTTCATCAGCTTTCTTCAAGGTGATAATGTCTCTCTGATTATAGATCACAAGATGTGTGAACTCAGTCAGCAAGACAGGGCAGCCTTGCCATTGTTCCCGTTGCTTGCCAGCTTAGTCACCTAAACTGCCAGAAGACTACCAAGACAAGGAAGCTTTGCCATCTTTTAAATAGGTCAGATCAGTACACAAATGTCCAAAGAGCACTATCATGGTGCAAGGTAAATGCCAGGAATGAGAAGAAAGGCATTTCCCTTTTGGCAACTGTGAGCTTTTGGATGAGCTCAAGCTGCATGTGAAACTGTACCTTACCCTGAGCCTTCCAACCCAGAGCAATTATTATCCTACAACAACAATATGTAGTGCTTAGACGTCTATAGCCCACATCACACAGTTCTTGCCTGAGAGTAAACGTGACAGCAGTTAATCACTGAAAAGCAATCCCCAAGACCCTTCTCCTGTACTTTCACCAATACAATACACATGCACATGGTCTCCTTCCCTTCTCCCACTAAAAAGCCTTCTAGTGTACACACAATTAATCACATCTACGTTTTTCCCTTTCTATGGTATTTTTTAGGAATTGCCTAACCCCTTTCCAAGATGGCTTATAACCAAAAAAAGTCAGTGTTGGAAGCAACCCAGCAAGGCCTTAGAAGACAGAATAGAAGCTTACTTTGGAAGTTACTAGTATTGAGACCTGACTTCTTTACAGCACAGTAATAAGTGTTACAGACACACCCTTCTCAAAGACTTTGCCCAGGATCTTGCTTATGGCTTGAGTCTAAGCCTAAACAAGCAAAATTGTAAAGTCTCTGATGTAAAGAGTTCATGTCCAAGCAATGCCTGAACTTACCCCTCTCACCTGCTGGCTTTAGGCAGAGACAGCACCTTACTGTCTTTGCCTGAGGATTTCACAGCACAGTAAGTAGCCTGGAGCCCAAAGGAGTCTTTTCAAGCTTTCTCCTTCTACTCAAGTTACCAGTCAGGCTGGACGGCATATTTCTTAACCTCATCTCAGTAAGAGTCACAGAGAAACATAGAAAAATATTTACATTTAGCTGGCTCCTAGTAACTCAAGAGCTGCTGTTCTGTCCCATCATAAGAATTATCAAATAATGCTACTATGCAAACACACTCTTTACTTAAAGCACCTTGCTTTGTTTATATGAGACATTTTAAAAAAATCTGCAAGGTCTTTTGGTAACAAATAAATACCCTTTTAGGGAAAAAGAAACCAACCCACCAAAATCCAAGCCATAACAAGTAGAAGATCTCAAGACTCCTCTTACACCAAGCATCAAAATTTTGATAGTTCTTTGTACCTAATAAGCCATGGAAAGGCATGGCATATCAATCTGACACAAGAAAACCACATGACAGACTATCACAGGCAGGTAGGACACAGCAGGCTCCAGAACTGTTCACAGGAAAGCAACAGTTTTCCTGGTCTACACTTGTTAAAGTTACTAATAAAACAAACTGAAGATAAGCAATAGGAAAAATACAACCACTGAAGTTAAAACAACTTGAGAGTTTTGATTTTTATTGACTTTTTCAAGGAACTGAGTTCTAATACAGTGAACAGAGCAGTATTTCCAGCAGCAAAGCAGGCTAGGAAGAAGAGTTAAACATGCTCAATTTAGATGCAAGCAATTCTGAGAGACTTGTATATATGAGAAAGTTGGGGTCAAACACACAACCCTTTAAACATAGACAGGAGATAAGGCTTTTCAATAAAATCTTAGATGCTGTGAAAGTTTTCTGTCCTATGAACAAATAAGCAAGCTTAAATCCTATGGATAAGTAGGTCTGGCATGAGGACTGATGTGCAAGGAGCAGAAAGTTCTAGAGAACACACAGACACCATGGCAGGGTATTTACGTTGCACTTTCCCAACTGCAAATGATAAGGATGTACTTCTACAGGAAGCACACCCCTCATTTCACCTGGAGCAAGCCAGCCTTCTCCACACTGTGGGACCCTCACCTTGTTGTAGAATTCTTGCTCCCTGGGACCACGAGGTGGCGGCTGCAACTGCTTCAGGACAGTTCCATCTGGATGCTGCAGTATGCCTAGAAGAGAAGCATTTCTTTTAGGGCTTAGTTGTAATAGGTATGGCTTTCTTTTTTGCTTTTTTTTTTTATTCCCCAAAAATAGTGACTTCACCATCAAGGACAGCCTGTTGAAAAGCTGTACTGCTTCCACTGTACACAGTAGAGAAAAAAATTATCCACTCCTACATGTAACTCTTAGCAGAGGTTTCCTTGCATTCCTCTTATTTCTACCCATCGAATGATTTCCTGGGTGTAGTTCTGTCCGAGGCCAACACAGCACTGGGATTTGACATTAAAACTTGCTCAAAAACCCCATCATTAAGAAGATTACATTGACATTCCCTTTTTAAATAATTCATAAATTGTTTTGCAACAATGCCAAGATGTCAAAGGAGTACCACATTTAATGCATTGTCACTACTAGAACAGAAATAAATGTCCTGTAGATGTATATCTATACTATTGGCACAGATAGAGTGTCTTTACAACAAGAAGTAGCATCCCTACAGCCCTCCAAGCTATCAGATGCTACTGTTTGTATCACCCATAATTACAGTACAGAATTTCACCCCAGCAACACCTTCATCAAGCCTGCACAAAAAAACCCTCCAAAATACCCTCATGAAACAGCCTTATGACTCTCGAGTCACCAGTATTTCTGAATACCTGCAAAAGAAATGCAACTGAGTAGCTGAGGATACTCAAGAGATGGATGTAGGCAAGAACAGAGAAAAGTAACTGCATTCCTCTGAAATGTGTACTGTGTTGCATCATGAGGTGCAAGTGTAAACCAAAATCCCACTTCTGGAAAATAAATTTTCTCCTAGAATTAATTTCTGGCTTTTCAGACAGAAATTCATTTTGCTTAGAAGGGTAGCAAAAATGTCAACTGCATCCAAAATAGATTCTATTTTCAACTACCATATGAGAAAACAGAAAAATGAGCCAGGAGCTTTGCATCCCTCTTCAAAACCATTACCTATGAATGGGCTCTGTTGTGCAGTCTTGGAAACTAAACAAAATCTTTAGAGACCAAGATATTTATTTTAAAACAACCACCAGACTTAGAATTGTTGTTTCAATAGTTTGCTATGCCAAAGATTTGCTTTTAAATTTGAGTAAAACAGCTCTCAAGTCATGTTTCTTGAGTAAAGTTGGATTTTATATACTTTCCAAAACTAGAAAAATATTGCCATAGATGTGCAGACTACCACATCTTCAAGACACAGCAGCTTGTGCTCCCCTCCCTGTACCCCTTTGCATTGCAACCACTCTGCAAAGTGCACCAAATACTTCAATGAAATGCAAATTGTTAACAACCATATTAAAATAAAATAGGTTAAACATTAAAATAGGTTTTATAACACATGCTCCTCAAAAATCTGTATTTTGGCTTTGATAAGCAGACAATCTAGAAGGTAGAAAAGACCAGGAAAAGATTCCTGGAAGCAGAATCCATACACTATTGGGTTGATACATATAAACTGAAGAGTTTTATATAAACTGACATCTAAAGTTCCCTCATTCTCTGCATTCTTTACGGACTAGAGCACTTACTGCACTGCTCTGTCACTGTGACTGGGGCAGGCCTGAAAACCAGAGCCATGTTTCAACATTCACCACAAAGATGAAAACTCCATAACCTTCCCTCTGATCTATAACAAGAAGCAGAGATATCATCACCTGCAGATCATACTAACATATGGATGTTGGTCATGTGCCTGTTGTAGGCTTCCCAGGATTTTTCAGCACAGATAGGGAATAGGACTGTTTTAATACATGAAAAAGCAAATTAACATTTCTTATGAATCAACAGAACTATGCTGAAAATAAAATCCTGAAATATTTCACACAAACATTTCTCTCTGGCTGTTGGTCACAAAGCTTGCTACCATTCCAAAATGAGCAAGCAAGTCACTCTGAAGGAGAATGGACCCTTTAGCTACAGAATCCTACTAATGGCTTGGAGCCCAGCATTTTGCAGGTACAGACACCAAACCACCAAACTCCTGCCAGGTGCAGAAGGCTCTATAAGGTGACATATCCACCAGTTTGTGTCTCTTTCTACCCACCTACAGAATTAAGCCACAAGCTGAAGTCATTACTTTACTTACTACACACAATTTATCTGCGGGAAGTACTACTGCACATAGCATTCAACAAAAGGGCAGTCACAATGCACAGAAGCCTAATGTCTACACATGCATGCAGAGAGTCTGTGAGAAGCCTTTCTTTGCAAGGCAGTAAGAGTCACAGGAAACAACAGGAAAAAGGAAGGTTATTCAGGAGAAATTTTACAGTGTACTTTTACTAAAAAAATAAGAGTTAAAAATATTTTGGATACCTTCAAGTCCTCTGTCTGTTTGTATGTGGGAATAGAAAGGAAAATCGAGTTAAAAAAATGAGAGCTGCGAGTACCAGAGCAGCTTTGGTCTTCACTTCAACATTAAACGGTTTTCAAGATGAGATCATCAACCATGGTGGTACCTCTTCAGAAAAGTCTTGGTCTTGCCCAAGTAGAGCTAGCTTTACCTAACCCAATGGAGTGGCACCCAAAATATAGATGATCACCTGTGCTGTTTGATCTAACTGCAGTAAAACTGATGTACCAAAGGTGAAGCTCTCCCTGAAGTAGGCCTTTTTTTGCCTGATCCCACCTCATCCTATGATGTGTGAGCACAGAACACATACATCTTCAAGGATCCAATGCACCCCCATCTACATTTTATTGCACCGTCTGCAGCTGGGGCAAGGAACAGGAATTACTTTTGTGTGGAGATTATCAGCAGCAAGCCATGCCATGGAAAAAGGCTGTAGGTAAGACAAACTCATAGCACCCTTACTGCTGTAATTTCAGACAGTGATGACTGGTGACTGAAAAAGATCTGAAGTTCAGCCCTTGGCAGGCGCAAAGAGAAGAATGACTTTTTTTTTGAGATTATCTGCAGCAAGACACACCATGGATGTAGACTGTAGATAAGACAAACTCACAGTGCCATTAGTGCTGTAATTTCACTCACTGATGGCTGTCAGGGTTCTGTAATTCAGCCCTTGGCCTACTCAGCAGGGGCAGCTCCTACTACCTGGGTTTAAAGGCAATACACTAGTAGGTACTCATTATAGGCTGCAAGTAGAATGGATGCATACCTTCCGTTTGGCTGAGAGGCTAGAAGTGCCCCAAATTCGAAATCCTGGAAAGGCGAGAAATGCCATTTGGGAACATTAACTTGGCCACTTGCTTTGGCACTGACCACTGCCTAAGCTAAAAGGCCCCTCATCAGAAGGGCCAACACCTTACTCCTCAACATGGAACTAAAATAGAAATTTAGAGCTGGTGAAGGGATATTTTAAAATGCTGTATCCTCAAGTATTTGTATTATTAGATCACTTCCTAGCCATTGGTTCAGGTTTGTCATCAAATATACAAGCTTAACCAATAGCTTAATAATAACAATTTGCTGAAGTTTCTGGTGGCCACAGGTTCAGGTGGTCTCGTTAGATAAACCACCTTTTTGACATATGTTCTGAGGGAACCAGCATTCTGTTACCTGAATTCCCGCTTTTAAAAAAGTGCCTGATAAAAATGAAGCTAAACGGCGTAAAGTCATTCGGTTCAAGGGTGCCTGATAACTATCACGTCTTGACAGACTAATGCCATTTAGGAAAAGCACCAGGATAATTAAATTTGGCAGCGGTTACACCGCTCCATCCACAGCCTGTGCGTAGCGGGGAGCTCGGCCGGGCCACTACCCT